AAGAGAGTAACACACATAAAAAAGAAGAAGGGTAGATAAGGATGATAGATGTTCGATAGGAAAGAAGGAGCAAACAACACCAGAGCACCCGCCAACCACCCACACTTTGGGTTACAATGGCGAACATACATATAAGTACAAAAATACATAATTATAAATACGTACATACATGCATAGGCCTACATGCATACATGCATACATAAGTACACAATATTACACAAATACAGAACAGTTTACAGCCATGCCACTGTCGGTCACCATTTTGCAGCGCCCTGTATTCTGAGCAAGGACATACCCCAGTGACACACCCATCTGATCCCCGTGTCACCGACACTCGCTTGACATAACTTGAGTTTAGCTTGACATAACTTGAGTCTAAACTCACAAGTCACTTAGCCACTGGAGCCCCAAGTATTTATTGTAGGAAAAATATGTGGACAAGGTCCATTTAAACGTGGGGAGTCTTATTCGCTTAAGTTCTTCTACTTTCTGCAGGGATCCGACTCAGCCGGACCGTTTTTGACAGGCAGGCTGGAAGCAGCCCGGCTCTTGATTGACCTAAATTGATTTTTAAAAGAGGTGTCGGGGCGGAGAGTTATCGCACCGTTTACCAATAAACTAAGCTAAGCTCTCCTGGGCTCAAAAAACGGTTGTTTTGAAAGCAATCATTGTGCTTTAGGCGAGCGTCGAGGCTCTGTTCTTTGTTTGACTAGACATTCAGTCCACGGAACGACACGGGGACATCGAGTTGTTAGGGAGACAAAGTAAAATCAATGGAGCAACAACGTCGTGTCCACGTACTCTCTAGGTCCAAGGTACTGGCCTGCTGTTCTTCACAGATATTTCATCGGGAGGATCCGGTCCAGAAATAATAATATGAACTGGTGATTGGGTGTGCACCTACGATCTTTCGACTCGCAACTTTAAAAAAACAACAACAAACAAACAAAACAAAAACAAAACAAAACAAAAGCAAAAAACAACAACAAGCAAACAAACAAACAAAACTTAACGCGTTTGTTTTTGAAAGTTCTAATCGAATTCGGTTGAATATGGTTGAATTCAATGGAATTGTACAACGACAGTAGCTTTTGCCCCTCCTTGAAAAAAAAAATCTTGCTGCCCCTAACTGAATTCGACTAAATTCAACTGAATTCAATTTTGAGTGTACACTTTGCATAATAAGTTAGAAAAGGAATAGGGCACTGAAAAACGTTATTGGGGATTTTTAGGAGTCAAGGACGATTCCATCGAAGAAAAGTCCACCTAAAATTATCAATTGAGAACTAAATGTACATATTATTTTGCTACCTAAACTGCCTTGTGTCATGAATAGATCTCTTTAGAAAACAACCGTTTATTAATTAACATTGAAGAAACGTCTCGTGTTCACGCCGTTAGAAAACGTAGAGAAAAGACTGAGAGAATACGAAGGCTTTATGTGGTCTGCTGCCTATACGTTGGAAGAGAGCTGCAAGTGTATTTCTTTTCTTTCTCTTGAACACCATCCGTCCTATCTCCCCATTCAGCGATTATGAGATGTAGACCTGCTGACTACAAGTTGTCACCGAACTAATGATGGGTAAATAGCAAGTCTATTCTGAAAACAAAAATGTGTCTGTACGAAGGTGGACTGTATGTTGGTCTCTTCCCCTTCCCAGATTCCATTTTGCTTCCTCTGAGGCATAAGTCAGTAACTTTCATGACAACGGACTTTGTTCCCTCTTCCAACAGGTGAACAGTTCTTTGCCTTGCAGAGTCCACTACCGAAACAACGCCATATTGGATCGTTGGCAGTTTATTGAAGAGGTAGTAGTGGCCTTGTATGAGCATGGTGAACTCAAACAGTCCTTGACCTTTGACGCCACCGGCACAGACTACCTGTCCTGGTTCAGTCCTGAAAAACTCAAGGACGCCGGCAACTGGAAGGACCTGAAAGGACTAAAGACCAACTACTTCAGTATTCCTGGCTACGTCGAAATGAAGCGAAACTTCTACATTAACTACAAGATCAAGAACTGTGCAGGGGATATTAGTTGGCTCATAGTCGTTGATCACTCTGAGGGTACATGCAACTATGAAAACATTCCAAAGTTCCCAGTGTTCTTATACAGCACTAACGCCACTACTGTAGCTGATAAAGCTAAGCACATGTCTCGAGCTGACGTCATGGCTATTTTTGTCAAGTATCATTCAATTTGCCCTGCTTAAAGACAGATCCAGCTCAATTCATAAAACGACCAAAGGACAAAAAATATTGGGACTGAAAAAGTCAGAGCTAAAAGCGTTTTAAAAAAGAATTTGCGGTTTGCTCATTCTTTAGAATAAAGGTTATTACGATTTGAAGTCAATATATTTGTATGAACGATTTGTCTATTTCTCGATTCAAGGACAACTTTTCCAGACTTCAAATAAGCTTTAGTGCTCAGCCTTCTGGGGAAAACAGAGAAAACAGATAGTTTTAAAATTTTGTCTTATTATTCTAATAAAAATTTAACTTGAGTCTGCGCAAATATGTGTCCGATTTTGAGTTTGTCCAGTAAATTAAAAACTAAACAAAATGAAAGCCTAAACAAATCAGTCTGCATTGTCTTTTTCATTACTCAACACACACACACACACACACACACACTCACACACACACACACACACACACACACACACTCACTCACACACATTATATACACACACACAAACACACACACACTCCCTCTTTTTTTTATTCTTTCACTTTCTCACTCTATTTCTCTCTTTTCCCCTCTCTGTCTTTCAACCCCGCCCCAAACACC